TCCAGATACAGGGAAGTAGGCAAGAGTCCAGTTACACTGAGAAGTAGGCAAGAGTCCAGTTACACTGGGAAGTAGGCAAGAGTCCAGTTCCTTCTGTCACACTGTCTTATTGCATGCAGTGGAAACTACTGTACAGCTTTTTATACTGGCACAATAGCTCTGGCCTATATGTGACTTCTGGCCTCAAACATCCATGGGTAAGATAGTTAGGAATGATGTTTAAATTACAAGTAAACTTTACTTAAAAATTATTGTGTACATTTTCAGCAACCTTAACATACCAAAATAATATGATCAAGAATCAAGACTCAGGTAAAGGAGTCCTACACAAAGTTTTTTGGCCACCATATTTGCTAGAATTATATTTATTCCACGTACAGATATGGAGGCACAAACATAAACACCAGAAATTACACACACAAAATAAACCCTCAACTACACTGGTTAAGCAGGAACAAGTGTATTGGCTCACGAAATTTAAAAGTCTAGAAATGGCTCAATTTCAGGAACTCGGAGTGTTAACAGGAAGGAGAGCATGACTCTGTACCAACTTTCCCAGAAATGCCTTATATTTTCCCATCCGACCTGACAGGTCAACATGCTTGTATCAAGGCTCACTAGACGAAATCACTACCTGATTTACAACATAGGTTTACAACGTGCACCTGCAGAGTCAAGTGTGGAAAAATGCAAAAGAGCCATCTGTGCACTGGAGAGCTGCAGGATCCAATCAAAACTCAAAAGCCTAGAGTTTATTGCAGAGACACCTCTGAATTCATATCAGGACGCTGAAGGGTCTGCAAGGAAGCCTGGAGACAGACATCCAAAGGTGATGGTGAAGACTGGAGCTCCTCCAAAGAAAATGGAAGCGAGACATCATTCTTCTTTCCCTTTTTACTCCATTCAGGCTACAAGGCTGTGGGTTAGGGCCGCCCACACCCAGGGTGGATCCTCCCTCTTCAGTATGGCCACCATCCAGACACACCTAGAATTGTGCTAACTAATCTATTAGTCATGTTTTATTCAAGTTGGTAAAACAATGAACTAGCCCAACGCCCAATGCTACGGTAGCAATGCCTCCCCAAAAACACAGAGGTTGATAATTTAATCTTCAGTGTAACAGTGTTGGGGGATGGGACCTAACGAGAGGTGGCTGTGCCATCAGGAGGACTCTGCCTTCACAAATGGGTAGATAACAGTATGGCAGCAGTCAGTTTATCATGGCAGAAATGAGTTATTTACAAAAAGACGAGTCCTCCTGCTTTCCCATCTCACACCTTATCTTCCGCCATATAATGACACAGCAAGAAGGTCTTACCAGTTGCCAACACTTTAATATTGGATTTTTCTAGGCTCCAGAATCATGAGCCAAATAAATTCCTGATCATTATAAATTATGGAGCCTCAGACACTCTGTTACAGAAACACAAAATGGGCTAGGACAACCATTCCTAAAGAAAATCACTAGCTTAAAAAAATCCAGATCTCCAACAGGCCCAGCCATTTCAATGCCTACCCACAGAGCTGGTGATCAGATACTAGGACACAAAATTTATTCTATCTTCTACACTTAAGAGTAAAACAAAGAAATGATTCAATATCATGAGAGACTATTCATTGTGCCATTGCTAAAGTAGCATCTTTTCTCAAGTCTTTAAGGAGACTGCATTATGCATCTTGATGGTTCCCTGTTGGGTAACATTCGCACAGGTGATCTGCCGAGGAACAGTAAGGTTCAAATCCTGAAGTCTGAGGTTATATTTGTATTCAAAGAAACAGACTAGTACAAATTGCCATGCTTACCTGATAGCTTAATAATTAAGCAGCTGGAGGAGAGGAAGAGAGCAGAGGGCAAAGCCTCCCTGTCTCTGAAAGGTTTTCCACATGAAGCAGAGTAGGGCTCCAGCGTCTGCTGAGGGTCGGGAGCATTTGTCTCTGAAGCTGGAATCATCCCACTGACAGGAAGAAACTCTGATCATGGCAGTATGTGGAAGAATTTAAGCAGAAAGAAAACAGCAATAAAAATGAAACCAAAAGACATATTCAGAGATGGTCATTGAGTCAAAGGTTGTTCTAAGAAGTTGCTTTGTCCCTCCCAACACACCCAACCAACTGTATTAAACGACATAGTCATGATATCACAGGCGCCCATCACATCTGGAACTTCGCAGGCAATCATCATGGTGGACACATTTCAAGTGCCCTCACACAAGCCAGCATCATTTCAGTCCATTTCCCAAATGGCGCTAAATTGTTTCCTGTCTTTGCCTCTCCCTCCCCTTTTCTTTCTGCCACTGTGTAAGAAACAGAAGAATGAATCCCTATCCTTTGAGGGTTCACAGTCTACACAAGACATGAAACCAAGAGGTAGAAAACAAAATTCTCAAACAGACACTCTCTACACAAGTGTGAAAATAATCAAATGTCAAAGAGTATGTCTAACAAAAAGGCATGCGAGACTTCTACAGAGAAAACCACCAAATATTATCGAGAGAAATTTCACAAGACCTAAATAAATCAGTGGATATTCCAGGCTCACAGATTACATGATTCAATAATGTAAATCCTGATAATTCTCCTCAAAATGATTGCAAAATTTAGTGCAGCTCATATTAAATCCTAACTCTCAGCAGCACATTTTTTAGGAAATAATATGAATTTTGAATGCACATGGAAAATATAAGGCCAGAAAGATTCAAGGACAATGATAAAAAACGAAATCAAAGTGAGAAGACTTGACATCAAGACATTACAAGGCTGCAGTAATTAGGAGAGATTTGTAGGCACAAGGATAGAAAAAGAAAACAATAGGACAGAATATAGGAACAGAGTCCATGTCCACAATCAGTCAATTTATGACAAAGATGATATCACAGGGTGAATGAGGTCATTCGATGAATTAATGCTAGGCCAACTGAATATTTAAAAAGAAAAAGTGAAGATTATATCATAACACACACTGTGCACAAAAATCAGTTGCATGTCAGGGGGTTTAGCTCAGTGATAAAGCACACGTTTGGTATACATGTGTCCCTGAGTTAAATACCCAGCACAAAAAAGAAAATCAATTTAAAATGGGTTGTAGATGAAGATATAAAAGCCAAACTACATCTTTTAAAGGAAAACAATGAACAACACCTTCAGAATCATGAGGTAAACTAATGTTTCCCAAACAAGATGAAAATACAATAAACACAGGAGAGAATTTCAATAAATCGGATGCCATTACGTTTCTTAAAATTCTGCTAATCAAAAAAATGCCACTGAGAAAACAAAAATATGTGAAACACATATATCCTACCAAGAACTCACATCCAGAATTCATAAATAATGCAAGAATGGGAAAATATCCCAACAGGAACATGGGCAAAATAATTGAATAGGCACTCCACAAAAGAGGATTTCCAACTGGCCAGTACATGCATAATGAAATGCTCAGCTTCATTAGCTATCAAAACATGGGAGCCAGAACCACAGTATGGCAGAAATGAAAGACAGAAAACCTCGAGTGTTGATGATGGTGTGGTGTACTCAGAACTTTTACACACTGCTAGGGAGACAATACATTGACACACCGCCTTGAAAACTCTTCCTGTACTCACTCAGTCCAAATCTTCCGATCCAGAAATTCCAACCCCATGCAGACATACAGCAAAAATAAATACAAATATTCATCAAAACACAGGAACAAGAGCCATTGCAAAAGAATTATTCATGACTGCCAAAAATAGAAGAACACCAGATATCTATAAATAGAATTTTATACTGTGGAAAATGCATTTTCATGGTATGAGGGGGAAATTGTATTTGTAGTGACTGAGAGCTTCTGATGGAAGTTGCTGGGACTCTAATGAACAATGTTATAATTTGGGTCTGCATTATACTGGCGGGTTCATTTGGTGAATATTCACTGAGCTCTTTACTTATGACCTATAAGTTTTTCCCTACATATTTTAATATTCAAAAAAGAAGTGATAACTGCTGGGAATAAGAGAGGAAAGGAATTCAAAGGAGAAGTGCTCGCACCTCCCCAGAAAACGAATGAATCGAAACAAGTCAGTGTTGGTCACTTTTTTTGCCCATTGGACACGACTTTGTGTGACTTGCAAAGCAGAAAGCAGCCCTCCCCCACACTCCAAGGCAATACAACCAGGGGTACCAAATTCTCATGTTGCCCACAGATGCAAAGTTCTCTCATGCTTTCTCAGGTTTGAGAAAGATGTGAACAAAATGTTTTCCCAATCTGGTAAAAAGGCAGTTCTATCAACATTTTGCCTTGTGTTTAACAGGGCTTTATCTGCACACGTGGCCTGGGAGATAACAGACAGCCTCATGAAGTCAAATGGCACCTATGTGACTCAGACAGCACAGAATGTATGAGCCCAGCTGAGAATTCTCCTTTGAACTACAAACTTAAATAAGGGAATTCATATAAAATTGCCATTTTTATAGGTCAAAACTGAATGATTTTGAGTGGTTCAACTTATAAGACATATTTCTAATGAGAATTTCTAATAAAACTTTTCAAAATCAATTTTCCCCTACTGCAGCTACCCAACTTGATACATGGCAGCCCCATCCTTCCTTCACTTTAGCCAAAACCTTTACATCATCACTGACTGCTTTGAGTCTAAGATCATCTATCCAATCCATTGGCAGATCATCCCTATTAGACCTAAAAACATTTCCAGAATCAGACTATTCCTTGCCACCTTCACAGTATTATTTTAATCTAAGCTGCCATCACTGATTACATGACTATTTGTAATAGTTTTTTCTGGTCGCCCCCTCCCCACCCAACCCCCATTTAGTTTAATACCAATAGCCAGGGTGATCCTTTAAAATGCTAAGTCAGATTATGTCCCTCTTCTGCTAAAAATTCTCCAGTGGTTTCTCATCTCATTCAAGTAAAGGCCAAAGCCCACAATATTCAGCAGAGGCAGGCCAAAAAGTGTTGAATTAATACATAAAGCAAAGAAGGAGAAATGTACCAGTAACCCCAGCTCTTCTAGTTTTCCATTCCACTATACTTAGGGTGTTTCTCTTGCCTTTTAGTCCAAGTTGCCTGCGCAAGCTTATTCCTCACATTCATGCTCTGAGATGCAGAATTGAAGGTGGAAGAAGAATGCCATGCCTCTTTTGTTCTAAGTTAGGAGATCCACATTATTTCTGTTAACAGCTCATTGTTCATAACTTCAGCATTATGGACATTTTAGAACTGATCATTCTTGGCTGAGGAGGCTGTTCTTTGAATCTCAAGACACTTAGCAGATTTCCACTAGCATGTCACCAGAAGCCACAGAACACAATATTCCACCCCCAGTAACAACAGCTAAAGTTGTGTTCAGACATCGTCAAGTATCCCAAAGTGTAGGAGAGGGATAGTCCCTTGTTGAGACCACCGCCTTAAACTGAAAGAGAGTTGGCAAATTGCAGAAGGAAACTCTCAGGTGATAAAATCAGCTTTTTAAATTTTGAGATAGTTTGGATATTTAGCAAGTGATAAGCACTCTTGGTTGAGAATGTAGAAATTGATGCAGTGGTAACAGAGAAGGCCTCTCTGAGGCTTGCTGAAAATTGAAGCCCACTGGGCAAGCAAAGAGTCACCTCAACAAAGGCGCAGCACATGACATCTCTTGAAATGAGAAGACATAGAAAAATATTCATGACAATCTACATTTCGCTTGTCCTCACCTTATTTTCAGTTATGTGTGTCATTTTCAGTGCCACCTTATTCCATGGTTGAGCTCATTGTTTTTTTCCTGTTTCTCTTGTCTTCTCATGCAGCATCTCCTTGTATCTTATCTTTCAGATCCTTATTTCTAGAAGCAATTACATCATTGTGTTATGTTTATGAATGATGATGTGTTTGATCATAATTTGTATTTCTCCTTGGCAATATTTTGGGTTTTTTTATCTACCATTAGTTTTTTAATTATTTTTCTCCCTTTGTATCTAGTGCATATGTATACATCCTGTACTTATTTCTTTACAAGATTACTCTCAAATAAAATGTGTCCCTACTAAGATAAATATTTATAGAACATGTCTAGGTGACTCACAAGGGACTGTGCATCAAACTAAAAGAAATCCTCTTTTTTTTTAACATGAATTTTTGAGTGGAAGTAAAGTATATTTAATCTCCCCATCCAATGGTTCAGTTAACAATAACATGTATCTATTAGGCTATTCACATAGACCTTCTCTCTTTTCACCCTGCCTCATCTTCAGTATGTTTCCTAATAGTCTGGCTCATCAATAATTTTTCATTCAGTGTTCCTTGCCTTTCTCTTTACCAGCAAGGCCTAGCACATTTCCTATAACTAATTCTCACATATTCCTCCTGTTCCAATCAAGAATAGCACCAAGATCACTCATTGTTACTGACATTCTTTCTCTTTTCTTCTTACGTCAGAATGACAATATTATTAGAGGTCATAATATAAACTACTTTTCCTGGACTCCTTTGAGGCTATATGTGACTGTGTAATCAGGTTCTTAGCAGAAAGCATTATGAACGAATTCTGGAAGTTATCTGTGAAAAGAAGATAGGAATCTAAAGAAAGCTTTCGTTAGCTTTTCTACTACCTTGAATTAGGGTATCATGGCTCATGTTTCAAAGAATTCTAACATAAGGAGGTTCATACTAGAATGCTGGGGTAAAAAAGCAGAAAATCTAATGTCTCGATAATAGTGCATCCACTAGCTATTTCTTGATAGCAAGTCTCTAGACTTCTCTTTTATGAGAGAAACAAATTCCTGTTATTTGGAATGTTCTGTTAGATGATAGTAAGTAAACATAACTGTAATTTAAACAACAAAGCTTTGTCCCCAGAGTAATGTCACTAATTTTGAAGAAAGATTCTGCAAGCTTGTTTGAGATCCGCAGCCAAAGGCATCCTTTCCTGAAGGTAGAACCATTATTTATTTGACATCTCCTGCACTTGACCTCCCGTCCTCCAATATTGTAATCTCGAGTGACAAATGTCTCTTAGTGTTCCTCAAGATGGAATTGTTTTTCATTTTCCCTCTTTCTGAAATCCAAGAATACAGAGCAGAAATGCTTTCCTACAATACCACTGTAAGAATAAAAACAAGAATTTCTCTTTTGGTGTTGGGTTTTTAAGGGTAGAGAAGAAATACTTTAGAAATTACAGAAGGATTTATGAAAGTTCTATTTCTCTCTCTCTCTCTCTCTCTCTCTCTCTCTCTCTCTCTCTCTGATTTATGACAAATGTAAACATAAGAAGTCTGCAGAGCAGTGATATCATCAAAGGACAGCTTGATTCTTTTAGGGTAAAAATACAGCTCTCAACGAAGATGTTAAGAATACAGGAGCACCAGCTAATGATAACCTGAGAGTTATAAAACACAATAGAGGAGAAGGTTTGAAAAGACAGGGAAACATACAGGGCAGCTCAAAATGGTACAGTTGTTAAGGACCGTGGTAACAATTGGTGAACAGAGAGACTGGGTTTTGTGTGACTGAAGAAAATAGGAATGTGCTCTAATAGCCCCAAAGGAAGGCAGGTTCATCCTTTCATACCACATTTGTAGGGAGAGGAAATCGATATGGCTTAGATCCAAGTGCTTATGTGTAAAAGTATCCATTGTTTCTGCACTCTTGGCATTTCTTTAAGATCCTGACATTTGATCCCCATGCCCGAAAAGTTACTCAAATCTTTTCTCTCTCCTTCCTTCCATCCAGTTCAAAGCATTCAACATAACTGCACCAACAAAATTAGGCTTGTGGAAAACATAAGCCAGAAAGAAGAGAGTGTTTTGTAGGCAGCTTCTGCTTTCTTTCTGCTATAAACTCTCCTGGGTAAGGAAACTTAGCACCTGGACTCCTGCTTTCCTACAGAAATTAAGGGGAAAAGCGAGAAAGCAAAAATTATGTCAGATATTATCCTATCCTCACAAGAGCACCCTTCCTCTGATTCTCCACACAGGGTACCACCTCTGTCCAGCTACAATCACAGACAAACCTGCTTTTGTATCAACAGAGTAGCAGACACATTCTTGGTAAAAAGGAGGTACCTCAAAAACTCTATCCTCAGATGCCTCCATGTTCTTGTTCCTTATCGATTCTTTTGACCCTCATTCTTTGAGAGCAAGGTTTTTCAAAGGCTTTTCAAAGGAAATCTTAGCTACAACTTCAAAATATAAAACATTTTCAAACAGTTGCTGGTCTGGCTGCAGTAGAGGCAGGGACCTCTACCTCTGCATGGCCAGCATTTTCTTGGCACCACTGTCATTCCCTGACCCTGTCCACATGCACTCGTCCTTCTCAAAATCCCTAGGTTAGCATGACCCACTCATTCAGGTTTGCCTGGTCTTCCAGGTTGTAGCTCTGTTTGACTCATACCTTGAAATCCCTTCAGTCATAAAAACAGCAATGAGTGGTCACCCAACCCTAAATACACCCCCATGATGGTTTTAAAAAATTGCCAGTTTAAAAACAAATTATCAAAAATATAAGCTGTCTAACATGGGTCACACTTCACACCACTATGGGTCATTGTTATTGCAAATTATTATGAATTCATTTATTGTTAGCTTTCCAAATGGCTGCAGGGTGGAGAAAGCAATTTGATGAGGAAAAGGATAAACACAGCCAACCTGCATGCCCTGCTGTTGTTTCAGAATCAAAGTCATTCATAAGATTCTAGTCCCAGGCCCCTGCAGTGATGCACTAGCTAAATACCTCTGTAGTTCAAATGGTATCTGGAGTCAAACCTGCCTCTCTGGAGAGAGGAGGTAGGTGGGGAGCTAAAGAGAGGAAGTAAATGGCTGAGACATGAGAGCTCATCCTGAAACCTACACACCCAATATATCCTCCTGCCTGGGTATTTTGATGTACTCCCTTATTAAGAAATATACCATCAGGGCTGCAGGTCAGACTAAAACTAAGACCTACATGAGTAGAGATCAAGCCCGGGGCATAGAATGATTTACCAAACTAAGCAGCCATAGAAAATTCCATATAATTGACTTGCAAATGCTTTCAGGCACTGGACTCTGTGTACTGCAGCAGCTGGAACTGAGGTCCAAACTGAAGAATGAGTGTCCAGCAAAGTAAAGGACTGTTCAGAGACACCCAGATGATCCCCTTTGCTGGCAAAGCTGTCAGATGTTCATGCAGCTTTAATGAAGCCCAGTTCTAATTAATCTGTGACCTTATTCAAACCAACTGCTTCCCTATGCCTCAAATGCCTCTCCAGCTTTGGCTGCCCTTTCCCTCCAAGTAGCCTCTGAAGGTCTGTTTCCTTATTAAGTTTAATTGGAAGATGACTGAACCATGGTCTTTCATAAGTAGGGAATTCCCCGCCGATATAATATGTAGAGCAGATGGGTGGCAAAGAAGACAGCAGAGATGTGATACAGCTTCTACAGTTTACACCAATGAAAGGCTCGGTCCAACCTGGAATGTTTGCAAAACAGCCCATCAGACACCAGACTCTTGATTGATGGAAAGCAGTACATTGTGGTTAGAATGAACACACATGTGGTGGCACCGTCAAGACCAGGAAGAGACGGACTGAGACCATAAAGTAAAAGGGAAGCAGTAGTAAAAGGGCTGGAATTCATCTCCAGCACTTTAACTTAGACCATCAAAGCAAACTGTGTGATACAAATGACTTACAAGGGTTTCTAGATGTTGAGGCCTTCACTACTGCGTGGGATTTAGAGAAACCAAAGACTACAAGCCAAATACTCAGGCTGTGAGTAATTTTCCTTATTTCCCCAATAAGGCGTCATGTGTGCTATGTTGAGCAATGTTTAAAATATTCAAATGTTCAATGGGAAGTATTAATGTAAACCTGTCACCCTATCTGTCACTGATGCTTTTTCTATTGTAATACAAATACTCTCACCAGCCGCAACTACCAGCACAGTTTGGAAAATGTGGGCTGCATTTGCTCTCAATATACCTGTAAGTTACTTCAAGTGGCTATGAATGTCATTCTCTCCCAAACTTCTTATCGAAACACTATCAGAGCTTCCTGTTATCTTTAGGGTAAGATGTAACCCCTTAGTAGAGTTTGTAAGACCTTTCAGAGTCCAACTTTTGGGGGCAGGAAGGAGTCCTAGTTGCTTATGATAAAATATACTTTAACTGGAATAAGCAGGAAGCATTGGCGTTTATCCAGCAATGCAAAGAAATTCTGGGACAGAGTCAAAAATAATAGCCGACATTTCCTACCCTGAAGACCTCCCTGATGCCATCACTCACATGGACCCCCCAGTTCACTCTGGCCTTATGGGGCACTGGACACCAGAGGCCCCACACTTGCTGCTCCTGGAAGTCTACATCCTGGCCATGGCATGCTCCAGAAAATAGGTTCAACGTGGCACCTGCTGCCTCCCCTGCTCTCCTCTAAAGGGAAACTGCATTGAGACAGCGACCTCTATTGAAGCATGAAACATGCCTGTGTTCTGGCTGTGAGGAAGTTGGAGAAAAGAGTGCTCTAGTGTCAGGCTCAGGGAGGTAGAGTACCCGGCATGTAAGAAAAATGGCCAAAGGTGCCCATTTGTTCTGCTACCCACACTCCAGATTTCCAACTGCAGATCTTATTGCTTTTTTTTTTAGTTACTCAAAACCCCATGGTAATGCTCCCTAACAATGGCCCTATCCTATTCCCTGAACTCTTGGAACATACTGCTTACATACCAAAAGGAGCTTAGGAGATGGAATTAAATTGGACCTTGAGTTGGAGAGGTTATCCTGGATTATTTCCAGTGTAGCTCAATTGGCCCAATGTAGCCAAAAGGGAAGTAAGAGAATCAGCACTTGAGAAGGAGATAGCAAGAATATTAC